TGGGGTGTTGAAACACAAATATACACGAGCACAAATTTCTCCGTGTAAAGAAAAATTTCTAGAGCTAGATGAAGCCATGAAAAAAATTAAAGACAGGGAAATAACATTACGAGAAGCCGCAGGACATGGAATAGCTGGTCATCAAGGATTTAATCGATGCAACTGTAAAACTGGTTGTGGAACTAAAAAATGTGCTTGTAATGCAGCAGAAATGTTGTGCAGTTCAAAATGTCATGGTAACCAAAATTGTACAAATAAATAATTTATAATATGTACGTATTTCATTATTTTATTTAATTAACTTATTATCCCATTCAAATAAATACCTAAAATAAAAAATGAATTAGTGGTACTTCCAAAATTCAACAATGATGGAAACGCTGTTTGGTGGTTGTTGGATCCCGAAATATCTAGATTGCGTTGAATTACGGAACATGATAATGTGATTGCAACATTTTTGCCGTGTTATCATCTTATCAATATTGATAAAATATTTTAATACATTTCGGCATTTCGCTTTATAAATCATTAGTCAATTTAAATTGAATTTATTTATGTTTGACATTTCATAATTATAATTATTTAATTAATAATTAAAGTATGAGTTTTAATGACTCAATTATTTGTGGGAGCATACAATGCGTTATGAGTTTGAGAAGAGTGAACATTGAGTCTGATATACTAACAAAGTCGTCGGAAGTAGATGAACTATTTATCCTAAAATGTCTCTCAAAGTTTCATAAAACTAGAGCACTCAGTGATTTTAAGGAGAGGCAAAAAATTAAAAATTATGTGGCAACTGTTTACAGACAGACTCCAGCAGAATTTAAGTTTCACTTTCGCTTGTTACCATCAACATTTGAAGTAAGTACCTACCTAATATTTACTCTCTAACTTAATGTATCTAATTTTTTATTCATTTTAATTATATTAGTTTTTGCTAATGCAATTACCACCAGTTGAAACCGTTTTAGGGCGAACCCCTATTGCGAATGATCGTCGTTTACTCTTAACATTATGGGTTTTAGCCAATGAAAAAGAGACTTTTAGATCAGTGGCTGAACGGTTTGGGGCAAGTGAATCAAGCGCTCACAGAATTTTCACTTCAACCGTTGATGCTATTCACAATCTTCGTCACAAATACATAGTTTGGCCTCAAGGTACATTATGTCAATTACACTCTAATCTAATTTTAATTGAACTCTCCCATAACTCACCAAACTACATAATATTAATATTTTTAGGAGGTGAAAGAGTGCGTAATTCCCTAGGGTTTCAAAATTTGAGAAATATTCCTTTTCCTGGTGCTTTTGCTGCAATTGATTGCACTCATATTCGTATCAGTGGTAATATAAAAGATAATAGCTATCTTAATCGGAATAGATACCATAGTGTAAATCTACAAGCAGTTTGTAATTTTGAAGGTAACTATTAATTAAAAGAATACAACATTTGAAGTCAGGTGAAGATATATTTTATGGAAAAATTGCAGTGCCTGTGACTGATTGTAAAATCAGTACATTTCTCGTTAAGTTTGGAATCTAATAATAGGATTATTCATAATATATACCTATTATAATATATAATTTAGTTTAGTTTAAGGTCTGTTTTTACAATGTCCGGTTAACGCTAACAAACTGATTGCAAATTTTATTACCGGCAGAATTCGGTCGGTTAACTTTAACTGGACATTGTAAGGTCCCTAAATAGTCTTTTTTTTCTGTTCTAGGAATGTTTATTGATGCTTTTGTAGGATTCCCTGGATCCTGTCATGATGCATATGTGTTTTCAAATAGTCCATTATATCTGGCTTTAGAAGACAACCCTAGATTACTTTTACCTAATGAGCATTATATATTAGGTGATTCTGCATATCCACTTACAAAGTATTTAATGAAACCCTATCGTCGTTCTATACTAATGCCACCAGAACAAAAGTTTTTTAATACAGTTCTTTCTTCTTCAAGAACTTGTATTGAGCAAGCATTTGGAGGTTTAAAAGGACGTTTTAGACGTTTGAAAGGAATTGAATCAACTGATATTACATTAGTTTCTAAAACTACAGTGGCATGTTGTATTCTACACAACTTATGCGTTAAACAAGGTAAAATATTATATGTAGTGTCAGCTTGGTTGGTCAATCATGGTTTTTTTAGGGGAGGATATTGAAGAATATGTTGAAGTCGAAGATTGTTATGATTCAAATGAACGAGAAGCTGTTGATTATAATCAAATAGAAGAAGAAACGTGTCGTGATGATATTTGTAGAAGTTTATATAATACAATTTAATTTTAATATTAATAAGAATCGGTTTTAATTATTTTTCTCAATTATTTTATTATGAAATTACATAGTTGGTAAATTTGTAAGAAACAAATTCCACTGTTAAAAATAAATATTCTAAATTATTTAATGGTTTGGGTGTTGGTGTACTCAATAATCATTTATAAATATACTATTAATTTATTTGAAATTTGTAATACATATAATTTAATTGAGTTATAGGTAGGAGGTCTGGATTGTTCATTACAGTTTAAATCTGTGGAATGTTATGATCTTGTTCTTGACACATGGAGACCAGTTTCAGAAATGTCTGTATGTCGCAATGGTGTTGATGTAGGAGTCATGGACGGTGTTATGTATGCTATTGGCGGCTATGATGGAACAGTGCATATTAAAAGTCTTGAGGTTCATAGACCAAGTGATGGAGTTTGGATTTATTAAAAACTAAATAAAAATAAAATACATATTATAACTGATAGGGTAATTAATATCATTTCTAAATTTATAAGTATTAAAAACATAATTTACATTTTTATGAATCAACATAATAATAATAGAATAACTAACGTTTACTGCTTTATAAATCAGACTTAGATTTATTAAAAACTAAATAAAAATAAAATACATATTATAACTGATAGGGTAATTAATATCATTTCTAAATTTATAAGTATTAAAAACATAATTTACATTTTTATGAATCAACATAATAATAATAGAATAACTAACGTTTACTGCTTTATAAATCAGACTTAGATTTATTAAAAACTAAATAAAAATTAAATACATATTATAACTGATAGGGTAATTAATATCATTTCTAAACTTATAAGTATTAAAAACATAATTGAGATTTTTATGAATCAACATAATAATAATAATAGAATTGAGATCTTGTGATTCAGACTTTTGATTTAGATAATCTAAATAAAAATTAAAATACACGTTTACTACTTTATAAATCAGACTTATGATTTAGAAAATTTAAATAAAAATAAAATATATACAATAACTGATAGGGTAATTGTTCAAACTAAGAAAATCATATGTTGCTTGCTTTATCAGCCATAGTCTTGAGAGCTTGAGACATTGTGCACAATGCATCTACCTCTCTTTCTTTGAGGTGCAACAGTTTTTTTTGAATTTCGTTTTGATATTCAATATCTTTCTTCTTCAAATTTATATAATCAGCCATACCATACACAGTCTTTAATCTTTTATAATTTTCTTGCCTAGTTTCTCTAACTGTAATATTATTATTTGTTATATTATCAGATTGACCAGGAGATTTATCAAGTGTATTATCAAGGGATTCTAAATGGTGATCATCTTCATTAGAAGGATAAGATGATTTTAGTGTACTAATTAAGGTACTTGGAGGAGGCCGTACATTTGGTTTTTTTCCAAATTGTTCATCAAGAACATCATAGTATTCCCAGGTGACACTGTCTCTTCCTGATAAATGTGATTTCTTTACGTTAGCTTTGTAGGTAACCCAGAGATTTCTCCATTTGGAATCACATTTATCGGCACTGACAGGTGCATAGTTTGGAAAAGATGTATTTAACTTTTCAGCAACTTTCGTCCATAATACATTTTTTTTGAATTTGTTTCCTTGAAAGGAAGTGTCCATTTCAATTCGTGTTTCGATGAGCATAGTCACAAGATTTTTGTTCCATATAAATGCATCTGAAAAATAAATTAGGATATTTATTTTTGTAAGTTTGATAGTAAAAAATACATTTCTGAGGTAATAATATGCTATATCTGTACGCCAACTTTGGTTTATATATTAAGATAAAGGCCATAGTGGAATTAAGTATTAAAACTAAGTAGATAACTTAACATTAATATTTATAATATTTATAAATAATGTAAATGTTCTGAAATTATATATAAAAAAATGTTGATTTTATAACAATCAATTTATAATTAATCATATAATACTATAATGAGTATCTTTGTCATTAATTTATTCAATTCTTAAATTGTTTTTTAACTGAACTTATATACAGCCCCTCATAACAGACTATCATTGGGACAAATAGGGGAGAGGCTAAGGAGGGCTTATCCCAACCAAACATCTAGGACATACAATTTTAAAATGCAATATTATTGTAATTTGTAAGGATCTGCTTGCCTTTAATACATTCAACCCCCTCTCCCCATCTAATTTAAAATTGCGCCTATGCAGGCTATGCTTATTAAGGAGCTGAAAGTCTTTTAATTTTTATGATTTATTATCAACTATGTATATCTCTTTCTAAAGCTAAAAACAATCAATGGTATAATAAACTGTGAGATTTTAAGTGCTTATAAGTGATATTAGTGATTTTAATTTACCTTTAGTGTTATCGACAAAAGAAGGTTCGTCGTCCTGGACAATGCTTGGTGAATTAGTACACCTTACTGGACTTTCTTCAACATTGATCCCATTACTAATTAAAATGTTAACATCCATCATGATATTTTGTTGGATACCATCATCTAATAAAATATTAAAAGCTATATAAATTCGAATTCATAAATATATTTATTGATGTAAGATTGTAAGAATATGAAAAAGTATACTTGCCATTTTCTACATTACACAGTATTTTGAGCTTATCTGCAGACCACACACGTCCAACTCCTTCATATTGAACGAAACCAATGAATTTCAGCATTTTCAGATATGAGATAAATACAATTAATTACGTAGTTTATTATTAATCAATAGTAAATTTATAGTTATTAGTTATTTAATTAATTGACAACAATACTATAAAATACAAATTCAAAAATAAAACAAATCGACCGAAAAAAAATATTCTGTTATCATAGTACATGATAATACTGTCTACTGATAATAAATATCAATCAGAAAAATCAATAAAATTTTACGTTGGATCCGATTGAAATCTAGTTGGTAACGCTGAATTTTGGAACAAGATCCAACAATAAAACATTTTTCAATTGTTGTGTTTTGGAACGCATATTATCATTTTGATTGAACAACGCTGAGTTTTGGAAGACACGCTTACCCACCAACAATGAATCATTATTATAAGTAGTACCTATGGTAAAAAAATCAGTGTATTATTTGAGATTTATCATCATTTACCACCAGTTTTGGTAAATGACATCAATGGCCGGTGAAAGATGTACATTTGTTCGAGGTTATGTCGTTCGAGGCGCGTTTAATTGCGCTGGAGGCGAGCATGACGCGATTTTTCGCAGAATCACGTTCGCCACCTACACACCAGCAGCCACACAACAACACAGCCCCACGGTTCCCATATCACCTGTCACCCGTACAGCTAACACCTCACACACGCGAGAATTACCAGTCGGGTAGGCCGGATGTTTACAATGCCGGCGACGCTCAGCCGAGCTCCAGCCACATTACCGCAGCGAACGACAGACCGTTCTTTACGCGCGACACACATCACGACTATACGGGTCATACAACCGGCGCAACACAAAACGCGCCATACACATACACGCACACACAAGAACGCTCGGTGCTAATACCATACGACGATCTGCGCACCGCAAGGTCCTCATTACCCGAGTTCTCAGGAACAAGGGCTGAGGACCCCGTCAGGTACATAGTGAACATCGAGTCAATCCTTGTGCAAGCAAGGATACACCCCTCGGGTTGGTGCAGGGCGGTCGAACCGCAATTGAAAGGAACGGCGAGTATGTGGTACAATTCCATCAAACCACTCGACCTATCCTGGACTGAATTTAGGGAGGAATTTTATGAAAATTTCAATAACGCCGAAATTCAGTCTCGATTGCGCGCCGACATAGTGTCAACACGACAAACACCCACACAATCGCTAACGGAATTTGTGCGGATTAAAAACCAGCTAGCGCGCCGCGTAAATACTGGCCTATCCGAATCGGAATTGGTAGGTATTATTGCCGGGTTAACGCGCGACAATTTCCGAACACAAATCCGTCTACACCGGCCGCTAACGTTCGGCGAGCTCCGACGCATCGCAGCCGTTTTTGACCCTGTAACAGACGTCACCAACCCACCCGCCAAACAATGGACCCCTAAACCAAAAGTAGGGGGGACCACCCCACAAACTGCCCCAC